ACAATAAGGGATGGACAACATATGTGAATGAAGATTGGAAGGTCTCTAGGCTGTGTAACAGCAAGGACCGAGGGAGCCAGCAGAGGGAGCCAGAGAGGCTAGAGTACACGTGGAAGGAGCTGCAGCCAAGCGGGAGGAGATCTGCCCACTGCAGCAGAGAGCTTTTGGACTCAGAAACACAATACGTAAGAGGGTTGGAGTCAAATATGGGCTGTAAATTCGTTGACGATTTGTAGATGACAACCTTTCCGTTCTTGAGTACAGAAGGTTCGGTTGCCAGGTAACCAGATTACCTACCCTTCAGGCAAAAAGCCAGAGGATTCATTGTCCGAAGACACTGAATGACCATCTGTCATACGTGAAGGCAGCTGGCGTAGAGCTGGTACTCCAGAAAAAACTCCTGCATTCCCACCTTTAGGCATCCCTACACTTGCCAGCTTTTCTGTCTGCTCACCCCAAAGCCCTTGGATGGAACAAATTATTTTCAGCTTAGAATTCTATACTCAACTGAACTATTAGTCAAGTGTAAGGGGAACATAAAGACATTTCCAGACATGTAGGTGAAAAATATCCCCACACCTTATTTTTTAGGAGGTTCGTTGAAGATATGCATCGAAAGAATGGGGACATAATCAAAAAAAGAGACACAGGATCCAGGGAACACTGGTCTCATCCAGGAGAGTAAGGTTACAGTGGACGGTAGAACTAGAGAGCGACCAGTCCAGACTGGAGTGAAATAGAGAGCGTGAAGAAGGATGATCTGGGAGACATCACTTAGACGGTAGATAAGGAAGCTCCAGGCCCTTGTGGCCCCGTGGAGACACCAAGTTAACAAGCACATATGGACCAGAACACCTTTGTGACAACTGTAGAGACTGATTGAGAAGCAGCCGTACCCGTGCCAGTACGTAACCGAGAAGGGACTCCACAGGAAGGAGTAGGAAAGTCTGTGATGTTTGTGTGTGACATCAACAACCAAAAGGGGTGGGGACAGAGCTATGAAGGAGCAGAGTTTCGGTATGTTAGTATGTTGGGTTTTTTTGTATATTATTGAAGTTAATCTGGTATAAAGTCACATTAGAGTATTATAACTTTACAGTGTTAGATGTAATGATCCCCATGGCAACCACAAAAACAGTAGAATATACCCAAAAGGAAATGAGAAAGGAATTTAAACGTTTCGCTACAAAAAGTTAACGGAAGAAAAAATAGTAATGCAGGAAATTGGGGACAAAAAAGCTATAAGGCATTTAGGAAACAAATAGCACGAATACAGAAGTAAGTCCTTTCTTATCAGTAAGTGGATTAAATTCTCCAATCAAAAGAGAAACTAGCAGAATGGATAAAAACACATGATCCAACTACATGCTGTGTACAAGAAACTCACTTTAGATCCAAAGACACAAGGAGATTGAAAGTAAAAGGGCGAGAAAAGATACTCCATGCAAATAGTGACCAAATATGGCTGTAATCATATGAGACAAAATCGACTTTAAATTGGAAAATGTTACAAGAGACAAAGGAGGGCATTCCATATTAATAAAAGTGTCAAGATAGCTAGAAAATGTAATAAGTACAAACATTTATGCATCTAATGACAGACCATCAAAATATGACCCGAACACTGACAGAATTGAAGGGAGAAATTGTTCTATGTTCATAGTTGGAGACTTCAGTACCCCACTCTCGACAATGGACAGAACAAACAGATGGAAGATAAGAAGAGAGAGAACTCAAGACAATAGACCAACAAGATCTAACGGTTATATACAGAATATTCTTCCAAAAACAACAGTATACACATTCTTCCCTGCACATACGGGACATATTCCAGGACAGATCGTGTGTTAGGCCACAAGTTAAGTCTTAATAGATTTTAAAAGATAGATGTCACACAAGATATCGTCATTCTAGGAAGCTGGCATCACCCTGATATCAAAGCCAGACAAAAAATACTACAAGGATACTACAGACCAATACCCTTTGTGAACAGCGATGCAAAATACTCAGCAGCATGTCATAAGGATTATACACCGTAACCAAGTGGGATTTATCTGGGAATACAAGGATGGTTCGACATAGAAAAATCAATCAATGCAATACATCACATTAACAGAATAAAGGGCCAAAACCACATGATCATTTCAATTGATGCAGAGTCTCCAACACCCTTTCATGATAAAAACTCCGAACAAACTAGGAGTGGAAGGAAACTGCCTCGTCAAAGCCCTATGTGAAAAACCCACAGCAAACATCCTACTCAGTGGTGAAACACTGACACCTTTTCCGCTAAGGTAAGGAACCGGGCAAGGATGCCTGTTTTCATCTAGTCATCATAGTACCGGAAGTTCTAGCCAGAGCAAGTAGGAAAGGAAAGGAAATCACATTATCTGTGTTCACAAAAGACATGCTCTTTTATGTAGAAAACCCTAGAGATTCCACACAGGACAACCTAGAACTGATAAACTTAACAAAGTTACAGGATACAAAATCAACATGCAAAAATCAGTTGCATTTCTCTATACTAACGATGAACAATCTGAAAAGGAAGTTAAGAAAATAATTCCATTAAAATAGCATCAAGAATAATAAAATGCTTAAGAGTAAACCTAATCAAAGGTGAACAACTTACACACCGAAAACTAGAAAGCATCGCTGAAAGAAAATAGATAAATGGTAGGATGTCGTATGTTCATGGATTGGAAGACTAAATGTTGTTCAGCTGTCCGACTACTCAAAGCAATCCACGGATTCAACACAATCCCTGTTCAAATCCTAACAGCGTTTTTTGCAGAAGTAGAAAAACCCATCCTAAAATTCCTATGTAATCTCTACCTGTGTCATTTGGGCTTCATCAGTTAGGATCATCTCACCTGTAACCCAAAATCCAGCCCGGGCTTGCCGACCCAGTTAAGGATATGCATCAGCTCGCACTCCTAAAAGTTCAGCAGTTGGGCGGGGGGCAGGGGCGGGGGGGGGACATTGCAGTTGCTCGATCCAGCAGCCCAGCAATGTCACTTAGGAACCAGTTCCTGTCTTTCTGGTCTGATAGCCACAGTTTGGGGTTTATTCTGAGACTGATAGGGTTAGTAAACGTGAGAATGACTTCCTATGCCCATCTCTTAAAATCGGAAAGTCCTCAGTCTTCAGGCTGTAGCATTGCCCTATGTGTCCTCTTTTGTAATGACCTAGGCTGCCTGCTCTCTGCCGTTTAGGGACAGACACACTCGTTGACTCGTGGTCTTCCTTTGGACTTAGTGTCTACGAGAGTACTGCTCACTGGCATTCAGGAGATAGGAAATACTTCTCGTCTTTTCTGCCGTAGGGCCAGAACCTGCCCGGGCGACTCCTATTTCTGCGTTACGTCGTGCAGACCCTGGAAGATGACTTCCAGCAGATCCTGAGGAAGCAGCGGCAGCACCTGCAGCAATCCATTGCAAGCACCGTGCTGTCCTGTGACAAGCAGCCCCACAACGTCAGGTAACCGGTCCCCTGAGCCCTGGGGTGACAAGGGGCAGGGGCTGTGGGTGGGCCAGAGAACATCAGGTGGATGAGATGTTCTAGTCGGGACAGTGTGACAGAGATAGTTATCGAAACTGTCGGCAGTCCTGATACATTCCCTGTCTGTCCCAAGCGTACATCGGGCACTGAGCTGTGTGCTTTTCTCTCAAGGCCATCGGACTTCCTTTGGCCTCTTTCACTATTGTCCAAATAACTTCACGAGGTCCAAGGAGAGACCCTAACGCATGTAAAACTTTTCACAGCTTTTATAAACACAGATTTATCTCCATCCTGCTGCGTAACTCAAGATAAACGTTCGTCACTACTGCTTTCTGAAAAGTAATATAATAATCAGTCACGTGGCTGACAGTGAGGTATAATAAGGCTGCAAGCATGTGTTCTCTTTTTTTCTAGAATCAGGGCAGCTTCAGAGAGGGCAACCACCATATCCTTGTATCAGGGGGAAAATGTGATTTCGAGGGTAGGGCCCTCCTGCCGGCACCTCCCTCCTGGAACTGTATGATCCTTGCTTCTTTTGAAAATGGTTCTCACCAGGCTAATCCACCAGCATTCCTTATTTCAGAGTATTATTGAAATTCTTCCACTCGTTATTGTGTTCCCATATGTTCTCGCGTATTTGCTAAGAATAGTTTTACAGGCCAGCGTGGGATACTACTATAACGGCTTTAATGAAAGAAGGAGGCAGTTTCTTCTGTTCGCAGTGGCAGTCAGCTTCTGCCCCTTAGTCTTCACGTCTGTGTCATTTCCCTAGTGCCATTTTATAGAAAGTTTAAACATTCACCGGTAAAGGGGTAGAAAATCAGTAAGTAGAAAATCTACGAAGAGCATTGGATAGCATAGGTGGGTTTTCAATGAAAAAGTAACAGTTTGGACAATGACAGTGACTGTCGGCCACTCTGCCACGTGAGCGCAGGCTCTGGGTTGGGTGGGTGACGGGAGGCACCGTCCCACCCCGACCGGTGTCATCAGCTGCTTCGTTTCCACCTGGGCCTCTCACTGTGCCGACTGTGGCCCTTGGGTTTCAAGAAAGGCGTTGGTGGCCTCGAAATGCAGGCCAGGTCCTCCGTTGTATGCTTTATCGGTGAAAAATATCATCTGTTGCAGATGGAGGGAAAACCAGCTGTCTTTGATTCAGTAAGAGATGGCTATGAGATTGAGACTATGGTTACACGGATGTATGCACGTGCTTGTCAAAACTCCTCAAAGACCTTTGCGCAATTTATGGTGTATAAATTATACCCCACAGATAACTATTTAAAAAGAGAGATGGTAAGTCAGTCCCCATAAGACCCCTTCGCAAGGGATTTCGTTTTCCCTTTTAACTGTTCATGCAGAGTAAACTAGTTCTACAAGATGTAAGAAATACGCCAGTTCCCAGGTCACGTCACACGCATTTCCTTTTCCCCAGGGGTAACTACTTTCAAGTCTTTTATTTAAGTGATTCTCTGGAAATTTACCTCTGTATGGCTAAATAACCTGCTCACTTTGCTAATTCTTGATTTTTCATTATTAGCCATGATCTACTGATTTCCCGTGTGAAAGATGAGGAAATAGCTCCTTTTCCTCCCTCCCTCTCCCTACTCCCCTCCTCCCCCCCGCCGCATTTCCCAGCCCCCATACCATGAATATAGTGAGGTCATCATTTTGCATAGGTCAGAATGCAGTGTTTCCATTACGATGAGCATGTATGAAAGTCAGAGCTGAGCCAAGTACTAAACAATGAGTACTTTTCCTTTCATACATACCTTTCTGTTTTCCTTAAACTTAATTAATAATGGTCTTATTTTTAGCTTCCTCGTATTCTTTGTGCCTATCAGAAGTCAACCCTAAATTCTCTGCCCTTTGGTCTGAATCTCCCCTCGAGATGTCAGTTGGCACTGGACACTCTTACTAATTTCTTTGTCGTGAGGGTCTGTGGCGAACACTCCTTCAGTCTGGATGGCGAGTCCTCTCTGCCAGTCTTTGCCTTGCGTGTGAGTGAGAAGTCCCTTCGCATGTGCCCAGCGTTGGGTCTCTAGTTTGTTTGTCCCTCATCTTCTCTTTCTTTGTTTACTTCCTCGTTTTGATGGATCAGTCTCCAGAAGCTTCTTAGAAAGGTGTGTGGGAAGTACAATTTTTGAGATCATTTATGTCTGAAAATATCTTTTTCTTCCCACACATTGATAACTGAATATAGATATTTCGGTTAGAAATAACTTTTCGAGAAATAGTGTTGAAGGAAATCTTCCATTATCTTCTAGCTTCCAGAATCGCCGTGAGGTCATAAGCTACTTCGATTATTGATTCTTGCTCTGGGCCCCGGTTTTGAGCTCTGGAAGTTTCTGGGATTCTCCTTTGGCCCAGTATGCTTTCCGCAGGTCTATACTCATCCACTGTGCAGGGCATCGCGTGGGGCCATTTCAGTCTAGAAACACGTCCTTCATTCCTGGAACATAGTTTCATTTGTGTTTTAATGGTTTTAACTTCTAAGAGTTTTTTACTTATTTCTATAAATGTTTCTCTTTAAAATTAATGAATAGTATTCTGTTCTTGTTTTCTTCTTTCATGGATCCATATCCTCTCATACTTTGATGATACTAACGATAGCTTTTGTGTTTATTCTCTGCATGATGTCTGTTTTTGAGTTGCCTTGGGGCCAGGTCGGCTGTTGCGGTCTTTAGCTCTCATGTTCGAGTACTTCCACAGACGTCTGGTAAACCTCAGTAGTCTGTCCACATGTAAGGGCGACAGACTCAAAAGCTTTTGGAAGCTCGAGAGGACCTGTCATTTCTGAACTTCCCTGTAGGTGGAACTGGCTGCCCGTTGGCTAGACGGTACCCTGTCCGTGTCTTCAGGTCCTTCCCGTTGGGCTGGGTGCGTTTTCCATAGGAGACTTCCGGTCTCCCACATGAACGATAAAGACCGGGATGCAGGGTTTGGAGGCCAGGTGTGGGGCGATGGCGAGGGTCTCTGCATTCAGCGTGCGCCTGTCCACTTCGCGGCCTGTTTCTGCTCTGTGCCTTTGCCTCCTGTCTGCGCCTGGTGTCCCAGTCCAGAGACCCTCTGTTTGACCCCTCCACAGACTTAACCTGTAGCCCGCAGGGTCGGGGAAGAAGATCTAGGGGTCTGAAAGTTTCTTAGACATCTTATGATTCATCATACCTATTTTAACTTACGCTTCCACCCTCACTACAGAGGAACCTCGTACTGCCATTTGCAGAGCTCATTGCAGATTCTTTTTTTTTTCTTTACTATTTTTAAAAATAGGATTAAATAAGATTACTCTTCTCCACTGCTGGTTTAGGATTCAGCTTTCCCGAATCTGCCGTCAGTTAAAATGTATCCTTTTGCCAAAGTCGTAGACTTAGATTAAACATTATCCTGGACATGACCCACTTGCCTTATTTACTTAACTGGTTACTTTCGTTAATTGGTTACTTTTGATTTCCTAATCAGCATCTCTTAGCCGGCCTCCCAAGTTAAAGGCTGGGACCTTGACCATTAATCTGCATTTAACCACATATCCACCCCTGTCACCTACTTTTGCACCTTCTCGCACCCAATATAATCAGCATCTTGAATGTCTATCGTTTCTTTTCCTTCTTATGTAGTTTTATTGCATCTGTATATGTTCCTATCAAGTATATATTTTTATTTTAGTTCCTTTTAGCTGTATATAAAAGGGTATCATGCTGTATGTAATCTAGTATATAAAAAAATCTTTTATTTTTCACTTACTATTACGGAGTACTAAGATTTGTCCACATTATTAGCTGTTACTGTAGCTTATCCATTCTCACTATGTAATATTCTATTTTGTAAATATACTTAATTTTTCTTCCAGCTTCCAAAATTTCCTCCTTATCTCCCCTTGCTCGTGGAATTTTAAAAATTATTGTAGTACTAGCAGGATTTTAGGAAAGAACAAAATTAGATGTGTGCGTCCAAGCTACCATTTTTACCTGAGTTACCTAAGTGACTGTCAAAAATAATTTCGATTATGTGAAGTGTTTTTACTGTCCTAACTTTTAGAGCCTACACCCTGTGTAAAATATGACTCCACTGTAATACTCTAAACTTCAGTTATTAGCATTAATAGATAACACCTAATAAAAGAAAGCCGGCAAAGGCTTCTGTGGACATCCAATCCAACCTACAACCTTGTCAAGGAATGTTCCTGGTCAGGAAGCCACAGATAATATTCTTTACCTCGGAGATAGCTTTCAAGAATTATAACTCAAAGAAAAACGTGGCTGTTTCAGTTAGCATTTGTAATCTTACTGCAGTTAAATATGTGGTTTCCATTAGACTTATTTAAATATTAAAAATAGCTAAGGGTCCTCTTCGTTGCCATTGGGGAACTCTAGGGGTCTCGGAGCCCAGGTCAAGGCTGCAGTTGTGAGCACCATGCAGTAAAACAGACGGTTAAACTTCCCTCCTCATCCCTTCTCCGTCACAGGGACGTCATCAAGTGGCTGGTGAAAGTGGTAACGGAGGACGGATTGACTCAGCCGCCGAATGGGAGTCAGACCTCTTCAGGGGCCGGAATCCTGAAGGCCAGCAGTAGCGCCCATCCTCTCCAACCGGACCTGGCAAAGAACGCCGCCCAGCTGTAAGGGGCGGAGCTTGCCGTCTTTCCTGGGGCCCTGGGGATTTACCGATGGCCAGAACAGCGCCACTCCCTAAGTTTCCCCCAAATGACCCAGCCATTTTCTGACTAAAGACCATCCTGTTCGCCCGAAGGCTGACTTTCTAATCCCAAAGGTAGCTCAAAAGCAGGCGCCTGCCCCGTGCATGGATAAGACTGCACTCAGTGAATACAGACTGGCAAAGCCGGAGCGCCACAGAGGGACACTGCGCTCCCTTTCCTGGACTCCAAGGGACGGTGGGGGTTAGAGCTGCTCGTCCCTTCAGCCACCGGCTGACAGAAGAGAAGGAGCCGTGGGCAGCGGTGTCCCGCGGTCTCCGGTCCTCGAAGACCTCCGTCTCTCTCCTCAGTCTGGCAGGTTCCAGCAGGTTCTAACCACACCGGCTCAGGCCAGGGCAGGTCCCAGCACCTCAGGGCACACCGGAAACAGTCCTGGCCTTTCTTCTCTGGGGTCGAGGGTGGTCTTGGCATATTTTGAGAGACGCCAGGATTTTAGGGGCTGGAGCTGCCCTCGCACAAGTAATAACTCACCCTCCTTGTCAATCATACTGGTAAAAGCCATCACACTGACATTTCAAACACAGCATTTGTGCCTAAATTTACAGTGCTGTATTATAAGCTCATTGCACCAAGTTGATTTTCATATAAGACCTATGGGTTTTGACTAATTTAGAGATAATCTTGTTTCTAAAGGGGGAATGTCTGGAACAATGAAGCATTTACTTGGACAGATTGGGGAGTCCAAGAGAGAGGCAGACACCATTCCTCCAACGGAAGCTAATCTCATTAATAATAATAATAATAGTAATAATTTATTGTAAATAAATATTAGTAGAAACAAAAATAGGGTCCTCTCAAAGTCGGTTTATTATGATCTTAACAACAATGATAAGCGCTACCATTTTCCGTTAATGAGTGCCCATCTGCCAGATGCCCTACGAAGCACTCACAACTTTACGAAGTAGGTGGCATTAGTAATTTGTCAGAAGTCGAACAGTTTGTCATTGCAGCCCAGGAATCCGCCAAAGCCCCGGTCTACCTATTCGTATCACTGGCCGCAGATGTCCTTCCATCATAGATAATACCTACCGCACGCTAGAATACGCTGACTGTGGCCAGGCCCACCTTTCTGAGGGGCGGCCCGATTCCTTCTGCCCCATCAGCCTGCTGAGCTCTGGTGGGAGAGGGGGTCACGTTCTACCAGTCAAAGTTCTGAGACCAGGCTTAGCGAAAGATTGGTGTAAAGGAGCCAGTGACAGGAGAAAACTGTGCAGTAATTATCTATTTTCCCCTGTCCTGTGTCAAAGAAATTCACATAATTGTTAGCCATTCTGGATCTGTTTCTTCACCTATAAAACTAAGAAGTCAAAGGTTAGATGACCTTTAAAGTCTCTAGCTCCTTAAGATTGTATGTTTCTATTTTCGAATTTAAAAGCAGCTTGCTTTTGCAGCGCAACCCCAGGTTCTGAGAGGTTCAGATAGTATGATCTGGCAGAAGGGATTCAGGTAGGTGACATCGCTAAATCAAAGCATGCTGGTGGCTTGAGTAGTCCTCCCTGACCTAGTGTGTGCGTTACGAGGCCCTGTAGTACACTGGTGGGGACCTCCTCCCGGCCAGCAGGTGGCTCCTCGCCAGACCTCCCGCTCACTTGTGTTCTGTGTTCTGGACCCAGGATTGTGTGCCAGCTGCAGAGGATGCTGTCCATAGCCGTGGAGGTGGACAGGACCCCCACCTGCAGCTCCAATAAAATCGCCGAGATGATGTTTGGGTTTGTGCTGGACATTCCTGAGAGGAGTCAGAGGTGAGTCTTAGTTTCATTTTTTTATTCTGGGAACATAATTTCAAAAGAAGATCTAAATAAACAGTTGTTAAATTGGGGAGGAAAAGAGGTGGAGGGATAGTCCTGTCTCTTTAACCTTTTGAAAGAAAGTTTTCGATTAATTATTACTGTTTGCCACTGGGGCACAGTTTTGGGGGGAAGAGCTAGGCTATCTTAAGTGAAGCCTAAATTTTCCTACTTTGTCCATCTGGCTAACAATTTACTCGTCCTTCAGGGTTCAGCTGTTAATCGTGACCTTCTTCCCTGACCCTCAGCCACAGGGCCTGGCGTGAACATTCGCGGAAGGCTTGAGAAATGAATGAAATGGGCATGTCCCATATCAGGGGAAGAAGAGGTGACTCAGGAAGGCGCGGGGTTGGACCTGTAGAATGAGCCCAGATAGTAAGAATATGGAATCCGTTTCTTTAAGCACGAATTAGTGAAGCATCTATCAGGAGGAAATAAAGAAATAAGAGTTCTTGGCTAGAACTAATGATTCCATCTTTGAACCAGTAATTTTAGAATCCAGAGGAAGAAAAATAAACTAGAGTGAATATGAAAGCATGCATAGTCGCTGGCACAGGAAGTTACTTTGAGAGGGCCATGGTGCAGCGGTGGCTCTTAGGGAAGTTATCTGTCAGCTCCTTGTCTGCTTCTCATCTCCATGCTCTGCTCCCAGTTATCAGCCAAGACTATTCTTGTACAGCTCTGCTTCCTCTCATTAAAAGAAAATGTCACTGTAATAAAGATTTAATTAAAATACCCTGCTAAGATTAAGACGAACATTTATTAGGTCCCTACAGTGTGCCAGTCATTGTCACATTAATTATCTCATTATTCCTACTTAATGAATGAGAAAAAGTAATGAAATAACTCACCCATGGTTACCCAGCTAATCAGATTCGGAATCCAAATGTAAACCCTGGACAGCTTAACCCCGAGTTCAGCGTCTAAAGGAGGCAGCGGGTTAGAGCGGTCAGGATGAAGGACGTGCACGCAGACGCCGTGCTCGCTCCGCCCCCGTTCCAGGAGCTTCTGGTTTAGGTTTCACTCTCACACCTTCATTCATTTAAGCCCAGATTCTGGTGAGAGATGGGAAATCTAAGCAATGGGTAACTGTGAACAAACTTAGACTTAACACAGACGAAAATGATGTAAATCAAACCTGGCCCGACTTTAAAACTCTCTCAGAGGGGCGGACTGGCAGCCACCCAAATTATACTAGAGGATACTTTCTTTGGCCTTTACTTTGGCTCATTTTAATTTTTTAAAGTTTAGGTATAATTTATATGTGTTAAATTATATAAACTAACTTACATAAGTATCATTCCGCGAGTTTTGACAAATGCATACACCCGTTGCGACCTATCATTTTCTAATAGCTCATTGATAATATATAGAAATCCTGCAACCTTGCTGAATTCACTTATTCTAATAGGAATATTTTTGTGGTTTCCTTTCTACATACAAAATCGTATTGTCTGCAAATAAATATAGTTAAACATCTTCCTTTCCAATCCGTACGCCTTTTGCTGCCTCCTCTTGCCTTATTGCTTGGGCTAGTGCCTCCAGCCGTCATCCTGGTGGGGGCACAGTCAGGCCTTGACCGTTAAGTGCAACGCCACCTGTAGCTGTCTCATGGGTGCCTTCGTCAGATCGAGGGAGCCTCCTTCTATTCCAAGCTTATCGAGTTATTGAACTTCGTGAAATAGATTTTGCGTATCTATTGAGATAATCATAACTTTTTCTCCTTTCATGCGTGTGATGAAGCACACTGATTAATTTCCTAATGTTAAACCAACCTTACGTTCCTAAAATAAAAAACCCTATGTGGTTGTGACATGTTATTCTTTTTGCTTATTGACAGATTCAATTTGCTAATATTTCGTTAAGGGCTTTCACGTCTATGGTGACTAGAGATATTGATCTCTAATTTTATTTTCTTATAATGTTCAACCTCACTCATATTTAAAGAAATGAAAATTAAAACTGCACTGAGATACTATTTCTCACCTATCTGAATAAGTAAAAAATTTAAAATATACTAATACAATCCATTAGTGAGGCCTTAAGAAAGCAGATACTCATACATCACTGGTGGGAATGCAAAGTGGTATGAGCATCATGGAGGGGAATTTTGCAGTATCTAATAAAACTAAATGCGTATTTACCTCTCGACCCAGAAACCTCACTTCCAGTAATTACCCTGAATGCACAGTTCTAACAATATGAAAATATATATGCACAAGGATATTCACTACAGCACCGTTCGTAACCGTAACATATTAGAAACCACCCAGATGCCCTCGAATAAGACAGTGGTTGAATATCTGTGGTACATCTACACAATTGGGTATTATAAAGCTGTAAGAAAATGAAAATTAAAAGTAGCAAAATTTCTATGAACTTAATTCCAGAATATGTTAAGAAAAAACACAAAATACCAAAGAGTATGCATAGCAAATATACATTTTTTTTTTTTGTAAGGAAGAAGGAAAAAATTCCAAATGTACATGGTTTTGACCATTTGTGAAAAAGAAAGTTAAGAGAAACCATAGAGTAGTCAAATGGCTTGTCTCCAACAGGCGGATGGCAGCTGGAAAGGTGGCGGGGTGCGGGGTGCGGGCGGGAGTGACAATGGCGGTTCAGGCGGCGGTGTGGGTGGTGGAATACTTTCCTGAGGGTGCTTCTTTGTATAGGTGTAACTTTGAGACTTTCAGAGCCACATTAATGTTTTACATACTAAAGAAAAATCAGCAGCGAGTTGCAGGAAGGGGCGGGGGGAGCGTAACAGAATACCACCAGACACAAACGCACCGAACTGTGTTTTAAGACGATAACTCCTGAGTTTGGAGGGTAGCGGGGAGGTGCAGGACAAGCCCGAGTAAACTTTTTTTTTTTAACTTTTTAAATAGTTATAGATTCACAGGAATTTACAGAAACTAGCACAGAGGTTTTATATTCCCCTCAGCGATGACATGTTGTTAACTGTATACGACATCGCAAACAGGAAACTCACACTGGTGCCCTCCACAGACCGTAGTCAGATTTCAACCCATTTCCACGTGTTCGTCTGTGTGGAGTTCTGTGCAGCTTCGTCACCTGCGTAGATTCACGTAACCACCAGCACAGTCAAGATATCCAGAACTGCTCCATCGCCACCCCAATCCCTTGTGCTAATTTTTTGGGCCACGACCATCCATCTTCCCCAACCCCTGGCAACCACCAATCTGTCCGAGTAATTTAAAACATAATATCTGGACTAAATGCCCTCGGGCTAACGACAGAATGAACTGTAAATAAATATGGAACTCCAGTCAGCAGCTGTCTTTTCACGGAAGTCTGAGTTAACAATTCAAAGACGACCTTACGTGTATTCTAGGATTAAATAAGTAAATATGTTGTGGATAACGAGAGCCACGTTCCTCGCTGTCAGAGGAGAGAGTTACACGCGTGAAAACGGGAAAGCGCAGAAGGAGCCCTGTGGTGCTGGCTTGGAATCGGAGGTGTCAACATGAACCGTGGTCTCTAATAGAGATAGAGATAGGAATAAATAAATGTAGATGTGAGGGTGCTTTACATGTACCGTATATACACGTGTGTGCGCACATGCGCACGCATTCCTACCTCTGGCCACCGGGAGCACAGAAACGATTACACCTTCGTAGTAGTATGCATACCTAGCACTCAGATCTTCGTTTTTAAATACTGGTTTACGCTAACAGGACCCAGAGTTCTGTGAAGAAATGGCAGATTCTGGAGCTGAGGTAGGGGAAAGTATGCAAGATGAGCCCGGAACGTCTTGTGCCCAGAAGTGAGAAATGTTCAAAGAAGGCTCCAAACATGTCAGAAGACACCGGAGCCAGCTTAAAGGCCTTCCACTAACCAATCCGATCTCCATTTTTATAATTTTGTCATTTCAAGAATTTCGTATAAATGGAGTCATACAGTGCGGAAGCCTCTGGGATTGGCTGTTTTCACTCGGCATAATTCTCTGGAGAGCCAATCAGCTTATTGTGTATCAGTATCAGTATCAGTGTATCAGTAGTTCATTCCCTTTTTTTTTTTGCCGAATAGTATTACGTGGTGTGTGTGTACTGTGGATTTTTTTTTTTTTTTAACCATTTACTCATTGAAGGAGATCTGTGTTGTTTCCAGTTTGGGACTTTTGTGAATTAAGCTGCTCTGAACATTCATGTACAAACTTTCATGTGGCCGTTAGTCATTTCTCTGGAATAAATACCAAAGAGTACAATTTTTGCATCATACAGTAGTTACCTGCTTAGTTTTTTGAAGAAATTGCCAAATTGTTTTCCTGACTGTCTGTACCATTTTACGTTCCCACCAGCAGTGTGTGACCGAGGTGGTTCCTCTGCATTCCGGCCAGCCTCTGCTAGACTTCCCATGTGGTCCATTATAGTTTCCATTTCTCTTCCCCGATAGTCCCCATCTAGTCACTCATTACAGACACCTTGGTTGGTTCGTTTGTTGGTTGGTTGGTTTTTTAACCTCGAACATATTTATAGTAGCTGTCCTAAAGTCCTTGTCTAATAATTCCAACACCTGTAACACCTCTTAGTCTGTTTTTCTGGCATCTTGCTCCCGGTTATGGATCACATTTTCTTGCGTTTTCTCTTATCTAATCATTTTTTATTGTGTGCTGGACATTGCGAGTGATGCATTGTTGAGAGTCTGAAATTTGCTGTCTTCCTTGAAAGGGTTTCGAGTTTTATTCTGGCAGGCATTTGATTTGCTGGCAGATTAGCTTTCTCCTATCGAAGCTTGTTTCTAGGGTTTGTAAGGGCTGGAGTCTTGAGGCTTAGTCCTTCTGGGGTCTCAGCTGACGGCCCAGGTGTTTAGTGAGACCCCTTCACTCTGGCTCATCGAAGCCCCAAGGTCTTAGCACTGGGAGAGCTCCAGAATCCCGCTCAGCTCACAGCCCACCAGTAGCTGTTCTGACTTTTGGAGCTTCTCCCTGCACCTGGACCAAGGAGGCCCCTTAGTCACATTTCTAGAGCTCCCTCTTCTCTGACACAAATTGCACCTCAGCCATCCTGAACTCCAATCTCTGTTTACTCTGTCCAGCAAGTCCACTGCTTTCTGTTTGGGACCCACACTGTCCTCTGGCTTAGTTCAAAAATGCCACCAGCAAGAAATCTGGGGGACGTAGTGTAGCGGTTAGCACGTCTGCTTTACACACAGAAGGTCCTGGGTTCACGTCCCAGTGGAGCCACGGTCCATGGTCTATGGCCATGCAACCCAGAACAAGCCCTATGTCTGATCTTGGAAGCTAAGCAGAGTCGGGCATGGTTATTACTTGGATGGGAGACCACCTAGGAAGACCAGCTGCTGTAGGCGTAAATAATAATAATAAATACATAAATAAAAAGAAATCTGGGGTAAAGGTAAAAATTCACCTTTCTTTCCCTTCTCTCAAGAACAAGTCTTTTATAGCAGCAAGTCTTTCAGTCCAATGCCTGAAAATAGTTCTTTCATGTATTTCGTCCAGTTTTATAATTGTTTATAACAGGAGGGTAAATTGAACACCAGCTTCTCTGTTAAGGCTGAATCTGGATGTTGGCCTTCTTCTGCGTCTTGTTTTTTAATTTCGAATTTGAATTGCCATAGATAATTGTACCTCCACGTCCTACTATGTCCACTACAAATCACTTTCTTGTCCTCTATATATCTCTGAGTTTGCCATCTGTGAAGTATGAAATGAGGACAAATGCAGGCCCTGGAATAAAAATTAGAAAATACAGTTTTGAAATAAAAAGTTATTGAACAGGAAAACTGCCCTGTGAGAGTAACAGGCCAAATACAGAGCAGAAATTAGACTTTGAAAGAATTAGGGGATATCTTGTCACTGTAATCACTTGGAATTCTTTGCATTAAAGAAGAAAATTTGTCAGAGAGGATATAGAAAATGGTTTTTCAAACATTAAAGAGATCAAATGGATTTTCACAAATTTTATACTTTTAAAAAAGTTTGAGTAATAGGAAGCAAAGTTTAAAAAATATTCATTCTGCTTTTTAAACTTTGCTTTTATACAAATTATATATGTGCCTGATGGAAAAACAAAGGGAAATGGCTAAAAAAAAATGGATCGTTTGTTATTTCTCATTTTTATAAGTAACAGTGGCACGAAGAGGCCCCTATTTTTCCAGTTGTTGCAAATCCACGAAGGGGCGGGGTGTGGCAGGTGTGGGGCCAGCTCCGCTGCGGTTGACCAGGCACAGGCCAGTCCTGCTGTCCCTCTGCTGCCATCTCCTTATCTGCCCTCGAGCTGTCTGCTCCCAGGACTGCCGTGAGTAGCAGACTGGCAGGGGCTGCCAGACCAGCCCTCAGGCAGAAAGCTTTGGGCAGCTCAGAGGGGTGTCTGTGTGTCTGAGGTCCCTGGTGGGTTGCTTCTGGTTTGGGGAGCCCAGTGAGCGGCTTCACCTTCCTGGAGCACAGCTGGCTTCCCTGCTCTGAGCCTCTGCATAGGCTCCAGCCCGCCCTTGCTGGTCAAGCCCTGCACCGCTGGAGTGACAAAGTCCAGGGCAAGAGTCCCACAGGGAGTCTCAAGTCCTAGACTTGAATTTAAGACTCTGCAATGCCATACCTGTGTATTTTTTATGTCTTTGTTTTTAACCCGTTTTTCCCTCCGTTGAAATGCCTCCTGCCTTGGGCCTTCTTTAATCCTCCTCGACCCCTGCCACCGGTGCCTGCTCCTTCGTAAAAGGGCCACTTCCAGTCCCCTGGCCAAATGTGCTGTCTCCTTATATCGCTAGAGCACCACGGCACCCCGCATATGGGGACACTGGCCCTGCGCTGTATTTAGGTTCCGGCTGGGTACCTCTCGGCCCTGTTCAACTGTCGCCTGTTTGAGCTATGCCAAACAGCATCTAGCACATTGCGGACATCGGAAACGTTTATTCTCAGTAGTAATTCTTAGTCACGATATAAAGTGATTCTTTTTAACGTGTCCTAAACACGTCTTTTCCAAACGTCAAAGACTCCCCCGCCCGGGAGTCGTTAATTCATAAACAAATCTGTTTCTGCCTCGTCCACAAGCCTCATGATTTCTTAGGCATCCACCACATTCCTTCTCAGCCGCCTCTATTTTCGGGCAAACGTTGGAGCGTTCGGGGGGAATCGTGGTATATGCTCCCTGAAATAACGGCAGTGATGGTTAGCTCCCCTTCCCTCTTCCCCATGTAGGGAGATGTTCTTCACTACCATGGAGAGCCACCTTCTGCGCTGCAAAGTGCTGGAGATCATCTTCCTCCACAGCTGCGAGACGCCCACCCGCCTGCCCTTGTCTCTGGCCCAGGCCCTGTATTTTCTGAATAATTCCACGTCACTGCTCAAGTGTCAGGTACACGTGTCCCTGCCTCGAACACCTTTCTCCTGATCCCTGAGCCTAACGGAAAAGTGACTCAAAAACTGTACGAGACATTCAGGCGAGGAAGGCATTTATCACCGAGTGCTTTCTCTGTCTCCGCAGTCGGATAAAACGCAGTGGCAGACGTGGGATGAGCTCGTCGAGCACCTGCAGTTTCTGTTATCCAGTTATCAGCATGTCTTAAGAGGTAAGGAGCGCCGTGTACAAGTGAGAGGTGTGGGGATCTGACAGCAGGTGTCACTGCGAATTAAAGGGACAGAGGGTTCTCGTTCATTAGCCTACGCAAAACATCGTTCCTTGGCTGTACCTAGAAGGAACGAGGAATGGCGTAGCTGGAGCCGCTGCTATGAGATAGAATAATTCGCAGACGCTTGTTACGGCGGGTAACACGGTGGCCCTCCCAAGTATTAGGCCGTGTTGGTGGGCAGGAGTCCTCGCGACGTGAGACGTGGTCACTGCCGGCCTGGCCCATCACCACGATGTCTTTGTTGGGTCGGTTACGCACTGACTACAGACATTGTAAACATCCGTCTGTCTGGCGCAAATACAGAGCAAATCTGTGGCAAGGCGGAAGTGTTTGCAACAGGTGTAAGGTAGCCTAACGTCTGTCAGCGGCTCTGCTCAAATCACAGGCGAAGCTGGGGACCGTCAGGCTCCTGAACACCCAGGAGACAGCTACTCATGAGGATAATAGTGCAGGAGCTGCTTCAAGTGGGAATGGTTTCCTGGCCAAGGATTAATGAGGGCCCTGGGAAAACCGATGTGCTTGTTAATTACAGGAGGAAACACGGTAACTTTAGAGGCGAGAAAGCACATTCCTGTTGACATGAGGCCCGCACTGTTCTTGCCAGAAATCCAGACCTAAATCTAATCACCAGAAAGGTCAGACAAACCCATTTTGAGGGACCTTTTGTGGAATAACTGGCCTGTACTCTTCAAAAGTGCCCATTTCTTAAAAACGAAGGACGACGGAGGAACTAGTCCCCGTTAGAAAGACTCTAAAGCACATGAATACTAAATGCAAAACACGAGCCTAGATGGGATGTTGAACACCAAGAAGCTACAAAGTACATTACTAGGATGATTGGTGAGATTTAAATAGATGAAGTAGAATTGTGTTAATAGTAAATTTCTAATTTTTGATGATTATGGAAGTAAATGTTCTGGATCCTAAAAGTCCATACTGAATCACTGGGGGGCAGAGAGGCAGAGTGTCTGCGGTTCATTCTCAGGCAGGAAAGGGGAACAGTGTGTATGTAAAATGTACCGGCCGTGACCTCGTCGCGGCAGATTTAGGTCAGTAACGGCACTTGGGAAGGTAAGACTGTGCTTATACCCGCGGGCCTGGAGCTGAGGAAGCTGCTGTAGACATGGGAACAAAGCACTGCACTTTAGAAGCCAGGGTTTAAGTCCTCGTCCCAGCTCTGCCTCTGTGTTGGCCAGCTAACCTCACGTCTCTTGACCTGTTTCTTCCTTCTGTCGAGCGGAGACAGTAATGTTTAACCTGCCAAGGCCGACTGCAAATGGTTATGAGAAGAAAGTAGAGGTCAGCAGGAGCGGACCTCTGCCCAGCCGGGAGGAGGCTGCGAGGAGACTGTGCTTCGGGCTCTTGTCACTAAAACTTAACAGCGTGCACCGTCAAGGCCACGACACGTGTTGTGTAGTCTGTGCGGTTTGAGCACTGTCCACAGAACCTGTCCTTCTTAGAACAAAGCCCCAGGGGTAAACTCCGTGTGTCCGCGGCCCCACTGAGGTTTACATCATCGTTTCTTTTGGCGATCTAGCAGAACGTTTAATGTTAAAGCAGCTTGGTTTGGTTTCAAGTTCACGTTTAACACTTGCTATTCATTCGTTTTGCTTCCCAGGGACTACACTGGGGTCAAGGGCAACAGGGGCTTAATTAGCACGGACACGGGATTGGTTTTCTTTCAGAATATCCTTATGCTCGGAATAAGGGTGAGGAAGGCCTCAGACCAGCACATTGAGTAAAGGGGCTGTGTTCCACTGCTGTTTTATCCTTGACGTCCTCTCCAGCTTCTTTAGAGACCAAGAGTTAAGAAGGAGACAAAAATATTTAGAACCAGTGGTTTAAAAACAGTGTCCTACAAAGAACACTGTACTCCGAAACAGTTTCCTACAGTGTCCTACAAAAGACACAGCTGCGGTGGCCTGAAATGGCCCTCCGTGTTCCCGTCAGTGGGTATTTGACAGTGAGGACTCTGCCTTTTCTGGTGGTCTGAGGACGTAGCTGAAGTCACTGAGGTCAGCCTGCACTGTGCAGCTCCAAGGGTGGGGGGGAAGGGAAGCAGTTCAGCCTTGTCGCATGTTGGGAGAGAAGAAAGGCTGGGTAAATTCACATACACTGGCTTCTGTCATCCCCCGACCTTGGGAAGGTATCACCCCCTTTTACAGATGGGAAAACAAAGGCCGAGAGAAGAGTAAACGCAGAGCCAGGACTCGGACATCGGTCTGTCTCCGGAGTCCGTGCGGTGAAAACGCACTAGGCGGAATGGCTTTTCTGTGGGGTCGCTGGGTGAGCGTCTACGGGATTTCCATTTCTCAACTCTGTACATGGTTAAGTCACTTCCGTTGAGACCCTTGACCTTGGGGAGAAGTGGATCCCGAACCTCCACATTTTACAAATGTTTCCACTGACGGCAGAGCGGTGCCACCGAGGCGTGGATGCTGGGCCGGCTGCTGAGCTCCCATTCTCCGGCTGCGAGAAGCAACCCCCCACCCCAGTTTCACAGCGGTGCAGCTCAAGTTGGAGCCTGAGCAAAATTACAAATTGCTATGCGCCAGGTTTCCTGATACTTGTGAATAGTCAGAACCTCATATTTTGAAACTATGAATTCTAGGGACATAAACGTAATACTTTGTAAGTGAACAAAATGCATGCCTCTCCTGAATTCCACTCTGCTGGACCGCTTAGCCAGGGGGGCCCACGGAAGCCCAGCATCGGTGTGCTCCTAGGAGAGTCACACACACGGCCTTTCCGCAAAGAGCCCAGTCCACAGAGGAGAGAAAAGCAGGTGCTCGTAAGGTCAGCTCACTGCACACATTCACCCAGGCAACTGATATTTACTGCCTGCCTCTCCGCCTGGCTCGCTGGGCATCAGTAAGCCCCACGCCGCCCCTTCCCTTCTGGGGCTTACTGCCGAGTGAAGGGATGGCCCTTAAAGAATCCCACAGGTACCATAGTCACAGTTAAATGTTATAAAGGGAAGCACAAGTGCACAAAGTAGCAAGACCTAATCTATTCCTGGCGGGACCTGGGAAGGCCTTCCGAAGAAGTGGTCCTTCAGCTGAAACATGAAGCTCCGGTGTTAGCCCAGCGAATAGGAGGGCAGTTTTCCAGAAAGAAAACACAGCAGGGTCAAGGTCCCTGAGGCAGGAAGTTGCTTAGTGAGTCCGAGGAACGTAGAATGAGTTAGCAGGACTGGGACGTAGTGAGCGAGGGAAGAACAGCCAGAGATAAGGCTAGAAGACGAGACAGGATGGGGCGCAAGGGGCCTCTGGGCCAGGTTAAGGGATTTCAGCTTGATGCCAAGAGTGAAGCAAAACCATCGAAGTGGTTTTCAGTCAGTCAGGTTGCTCTCCCCGATGCGGGGCAGATAGTTTGGTGCCAAGGGTGTGGGTGGGATGGCAGGGAAGGAACAGAGCTATGAAGATCGATTTCACAGGACCTGGGTGACCGAGCCTGAAGGATGACTCCCAGGGTGCCTCCATTACCGATTTGCAGATAAATGGAGAAAAAGATCTGCAGAGAAAAGAGCTCGGTGTGACTTCCTAGGGCGGGGAGTCCAACAGCGATGGTGATGATGTAGCATGGTGATGATGAGTCCAACAGCGATGGTGATGATGTAGCATGGTGATGATGTGTCATGTATGATGGTGATGACGATGGTGATGGTGGCTGTTAACTCTTTGGTCTCCTTTGATCTAACACGGTTCCTAGCCTTTGTCTTTCCTAACACAGACATTTTTGAAGAGCCCGAGCCAAATAAGTCGTAGAATTTATAAGTCATAGTCCCATAATTGGGGCTGTCTAATTATTTCCTCATGATCAGATTCATGTGAATCCTACTGGCAAAGACATTGAATAGATGAAGACGTACCCTTCTCCCCTGGCGCATGATGTCCCATGACTGGTGACACTGAGTTTGATCACTTGGTTAAGGTAGTGTCAAGTATTCCGAGGGTAAAACTTTTGAGACTGAATATCCTGTTCAGCCTTTCACTCAATGATGTAGCATCCATTGATGGTTCCCACCCAAATCAATCATCATATTAGATTGAAAGGTGGTTGGTTGCTTTAGTTATACGTTCCTTCTACACTTCTTAACTGGCCTTCTGGAAAAAGGGCCCTTCCCTTCTCCCTCTCCTTTGTTTTTAACTGTGGACTCAGGGCTTTTTAAAATTCGATATTATAATCCGTTTTTTGTCATTTCTTACGATCTCATTGTCCCAAAAATGGCCAACAGGAGCCCCCTTCAAGCTGGCTTGTCTTTTTGACACGCCCCCTCAGTTTTTAAGCATTCTCTTATTTCCATGTAAAGGTGTTCTAGGTTCACCTTGTAATTTCCTTACCACGGTCCTGGAATCAGCTTTTTCTCCCCAAAATTTGTCATTTCTCAGTGGGGAGTAGGGAATAGTATAAGAAACCAAGATCTGGGTGTTAAGTATGCTGATTGCTCCTGGGGTGTCTGCTTCTAGGCCCTTGCTGACAAGAGCTCGCAAATCATATAATTTAAAAAGTGTATGAGTTAATACTGATACCTGTTTCCGCTCCCACAGAATTTTTTCTCTCCTCCTATTCCATAACTGAATCTCTTCTCCCATAAGAAGAAGACTTTTTCTGAACACAAATATAATTACTCATTTGGTCTATCCCATCATACATACCCAATGGTTCCTTTAAAACAGAATTACTACAATAAACCAAAACCCACAAACTTACTAAGTAAAAGTTCAATATTTCTTTGCAATTCTTCCATACTTAGGATTAATCTCCCTGAAGATATCTGAAATTCACATGAATATTTTTCAAGTGGTTAATTTTAAATAGTTTCATTGTTTAATATAGATTCACTATTTAAGTCAACAAAGGAAAAAAACTAAAACATAATATTAATTTGTTTTAATACGAAAAACTTGAGGACCACAGAGAACCAACAACAATGGACCTTTTGAACACAGAGTGACCACAGGTCCTCGCGTGGCCTTTGCCCTGTATCCCCGTAATCAAGTCTTTGCCCAGACCCTACCCACCAAAATGGGACTTCATCGTCTTAAATGAGAAAGGACTAAACAATTCAGAACAGTCAACCGACTCTTTCCTTCTTGCAGAGCACTTACGGAGCTCCGTGATCGATCGAAAAGACTTAATAATCAAAAGGATTAAGCCCAAACCCCAGCAAGGCGACGACATCACGGTGCTAGACGTGGAGCAGCAGATAGAGGCCTTCCGCGGCCGCCTGGTCCAGATGCTGGGGGAGCCCCTCGTCCCCCAGCTCCAAGACAAGGTGCACTTGCTGAAGCTCCTGCTCTTCTATGCCGCGGACTTGAACCCCGACGCAGAGCCCTCCCCCCAGGACCTGAAGCAGCCCCTGAGGTCCTTCTACGCCCTCAACGCCAAGAATACCTCCTGAACTCCGCCTGCAACTACTTGGAAGTTTTAAAAGTAAAAAAAAGTAGAAATTTTATAGGACCAAACCTGTCTTATTTATCTGTAGGTTATAACAACTTTCTCTTTAGTAAATATCTCTTTTTTTATAATCCTGTTCTAGCCTATTCTCAAATATGGCTTAAGTATATACGAGGTGTATATATTTTTTAATAAATTATTTATCTATACTTTTTTTGAAACAGGTAACACTACATGCACTTATACGTTTAACATTTCCATTCAAGATGTGAAAAAGAATCCCTCTGCTGAACAAATTCTAGACATCAATGTTGTTACTCAAGGTACTGACGACCTGTTTCAAAAGAGACATATTCACTTCTCCCTTGGAACACAAACATCGATGTAAGACCTGTTATACTGCCCATGAATTTGGCTCTGTGGCCAGTGTATTAAGATCTAATGTAATGGGGGGCGGAGGGGGAGGTCAGAAACAAAGAGATGAGTGTGTTACAAAAAAATACGATATTAAAAGGACATAATAAAGAGGCAATGGTTTTTCAAAACACCAAGTTCAGCGCTCAGGCTCCATGACTGTGAGTGGGCAGAAAGGAGTGACTTCTCTTAACAGTGCGAAAAAAACAGCCGTCCACCCTGGAAAGCAGTACAGACTTTTATTGTCAAAACGAGTAGAGTGCAAGCCTAACAGAAGACAAATAAATTAACTGATCATTTGAGACTGCGGGGCCTCGCTACTGAAGGCCAGCTCAGCTCCTGCTGTGGATGTGCTTCTGTCCAAAGCAGAATCCGCCGGGATTTGAGACCGCGTTCAGGACAGTGACCGACAACAGACACGGGGAGACGGGAACGGTGCTTTCCCAGGCTTGTCCCCTCAGGAGCCCCGTGCCCACGCAGGACGAGGCCTGGCTGGGGAAGTGACTGCGAGCCGAAGTTTTCTCATTCGCCCACCTCTCAGGTCCTGGCCCCTAACCAGGAAATCGGAACCGGGTGACATGGGTCTCACACGAACCTCAAGACTAGCATCTACGTGTCGTTCCCACCTTCCTTACTTTAAAAAAGCTTCGCGTCCATTTACCTACACCACACCAGCAGGCTGAATTTTCTCCCTTAGCAAGTTTTCAACCAAACTGGAGTTAAATTGATCTCACTTTCAAGTGCTACAAGGACGTGTGGGACCTGCGTTTGCTAGGCCCCGCAGGGAGGACCGGCCCGGCCTGGGAGCAGGAAGAGGGTCCCCGCCGCGGCTGGCTTCTGCACGTGCCCGATCTCAAACAGACGGCAGGTCCCCGGGCTGACGGGGTGGAGCGCACAGCAGCACAGCCCAGAGGGCTGAGGCCTGGCCAGCGAGCCAGCGAGCACCTCTGCGCCGCAGCCCGCCACGCTCACCGGCTCGTGGTAGAGGGGTCCAGGCCTCGGTCCGGGAACAACTCAAGTGTTTACCTAGTAAGCAGTGGTCAGTCTCGTCTAGGCTAAATGACACAAAAAATAGCAACAAGGCCCCAGACCTCACTGCCGGGAGTATTCGGTCTAAACTAACGGGACACCCGATGGCTCCCTCCACAGGACAAGCTTCACACTGCTGATTCTCAACGACCCGCCCTGTCTCCCGCTCCAGCCTCGGTTCAAGTGATTTAAAAGACAGACAAAACTCCCAAAACCTCTCCCATGTCAGAGCCAAGGTAAAAAGGAAACGGGTGCCAGACACCCTCTATCCAGAGTCCCTAGAAGAGAAAGCTCTAGAAGCCGGAGGGCGTGAGCACATTCAAGTCGCGGGGTTTGAGGTTATGGGTGCGTGGCGCTGGTTTCTTCACTTCTACCACTGGGCCGTCCAGCTTGGGCGGCTTGAAGGCAGCGGGGTCTTCAGCTGTTCGGGTGGCCTGCACTCGGATCAGATCCATGGGAGAAGGCTTCTGGGCCCCTCTGTAGGCCTGGGTGGCAAAGCCTCCTGCAGAAATAAACCAGGGCAAAGGATTTCAAAATCAGGAGGCAGCTCCCAACACGCAGTAAGACGCCTGCCACACTGCTTTCTCTGAAGGCGCCGCCTTACCCGAGTCGAACTTCTGGAGGGCCCTTGATCCAAAGAGACTCCATTTATCTGCCGAGGTTCTGTCTTTATCCCCACTTCCAGAATCCATGGTGCTAAGATACGGGCCGGGTAAGGCTGCAGGAGGCCCAGAAGGGAACCAGCTTCTGCAGAGAAAGAATGAGACCCGTCCTAGTACGGCCTCTTCCCGCCCCTCCAGGGGGGGTCTCGTGCCGACTCCCCTTTTCGCTCTGAGAGCACAGGCTCGGGTCCCTGTCCTGCATGAGCGCTGCCTCCCGTGAGCACGTGGCCCCCCGCACGGCCCCAGGAAGGGCTCACCTGGGCTTCTGCTTAGGGGAAGAGTGCGGGGTGCCACCGGGGCTGGACTGGGCCGAGGCCGGCTGCTTCTCTTCTCTCGTTCGCTCTCTACTCTGTAACGTTAATTTCTGTTCAGGTGGGTAAGAAGAGAGACTTTTTAAAAATCGAAGCCAATGTTAAACGGCAAAGTTTGGGTATAAACTACGTGGTTCACACCAACTTCGGGCAAAAGGAAAACGCTAATAGGTGGAATAATTTTGGATCACAGGACAGATGTTCCTTTGAGTTTGCCATACTAGATTCCCTCTTTCAAAACACTGTATTCACTCGACAGTGCCTCTCACGCGTCTCTGTACTAAATACCACGCTAGAGCTTGCAATTCTTCCACGCTCACCCGGCCGGCAAGCGGAAGGGCCAGGAAAGCAGCAGGCTCCCTGGGCCTGTGCGTGGAGCCTGGCAGGCCGCTCCTGCCCCGCCACGCTGGCCCCACGCCCTCCCTCGTCCCTCCCATCACCATCGCCAGTGGCTCTGGGTTCCCTCCGCTGTACACCTGCCTCTACCTACGGACTAGCAGTCTGCTGGGGGAGAGACAGATTGACTTCCCACTGCTAGATCGCGATCCCACAGTCTCTATGCGCCACGTCCAGTGGGCCAATGTTTAGCCCCAGCTACATTCCAAATGACCATGACCGAATTTTCTCAAACACTCAACACATCGATTTACAGAAGCTGGCATTTCAGCCATCCGCATGCTCTGTTCCTGTGGCTGAGATGCGGTAACAGGCAAAAGTCAATCCTACCACGATATGGGGAATCACTCAGCTGGAATTCTGACTGACACCTATCCTGGGAAGTTGCCAGTGTCAGAGACCTCTCTGGAAGCACCTGTCCTGTCTGACAGCTTAAACTGGCACCTTGATTCCCCACAGCACTGGTTCTGAAACTCAGTGCAAAACCCTCTGGGATGCGCACTACAAAATGCGACAGCCCCCCACAGGCCGCCAGCCGCACACTCCCCCTCCCACGTAGTGGGTGCCACCCCTTCAGGACCGGGTTCTACAACAACTCCGGAATGTGGGGGGACCGAGAGAGAAAAAGGCCACAGGGGACCTGAGTTCAGGTGCTGTGGCTAGTTAAATACATGAACTTGGTCCTCAGTCTTCATTTATAAAACATGGAAAATTGTATCCACCCCAAAGGATGAATATGAAGATTAAGTAAATGATTAATGAGTGCTGCATAAACCACGAAGCACAATTAAGTATAAAGTGGTAGTCCCTGAAATAAAGTCATTTGGAATTATTTTATTCATACAGCGATTTGGTCCCCATTAACCTTACCAAAAATTATTCTTCATTTATTGCAATTTTACAAATAAAAGAGCAAAAACATTCCGATTCTACATTTGCTTTTAATTTTTTTAAAGAGTAAACACAGAGCATGACATTCCTTTCCAGCTCAAGTGTCACCTCTGTCAGGACTGCCCGACCCTCCTCTTTCCCCCTCAGGGTCAAACACTGGGACACGAAGAGACCCATGCGGCTCTGCTGTCCCTAACGTGCTCACACCCGTCACATGCCTAAGTGCAGAAGCTCGTTTCATCCTCCTACCAGATGCCCTGGCTCTGCAGACGGATAAGCAGAACCTCCAGGGCTAAAAGCCCTGGAGCACAAGGTGCCACCACGGGGCGGGGGACAACAGTCCTAAGTTCCTTGCCCCGTCTCCTTACATCACTCCACAACCCCAACTAGCTGAGCTGGTAACTGCTAAACCGCAGCCCCCTCCCAAACGACAAGTGACGAGGGCTTGGCTTTTCTAAGTCCCTAAGAAGCAGACTTACGTGGAGCGCTTCTGCCACGCACAGGTACTTGGTCTCCTCGGTGGTGAGGCCCTTGTGGGGTGTGTAGCCAGCCTCTCTCAGCCCTGCCTGCTGCTCAAAACGCTGAATGCTCTCCTGAGTCTGTCCTGGGAACAGGAGACGACAGTCACGCCCATCCCCGTCTCCCAGCACAAACTGGGGGAGGACAACGCAGGTATCCGCTGCCCTCCCCACAAGCAGGCGGCCACGCCAAGCATCCGAGGAGCGCTCCTCAGAGTGATGGATCGTGCGGAAGTTCTCTAGCCAGGAGGCCTCCCTCGCACCGGACGAGGTCACTCCCGAAGGGACACACTCCTTCTCTTCCTCTTCTTTGAGCACTGACGCTCTCTTTGTACTTAGAAATGCAGCGTGGAGAAGCCAGCTGACATTCAGAAATAATGGAAGTTCTCCAAATACAGTTTCCTAGGAGACCCACCAAAGACTTCGCCGAAGAGAAACGGGCCACATTAAAACCAGGTGCCAATGAGATCCAAACCACAGAGACCGTGCCTTGAGCTGGCCAAGGTGTACCAAGCCGGCATATCTCGTGCGTGAACGTGCCTCCCCCGGTGCGGGCACGGCCCATGGGCCACTCAGCATCAGCACAGCTTGACCGGCTCAGCTCGTGATCGGCCGGTCATCCCGCGGCATAACTGACAGCTTCATCTGCACACACTACGTTAACACACCCCTACACACAGGAATGCGACAGCTGTGGACCAGTCCAGATGACAGATGTCCTTTACGACTGACTTAGTCACTCCCTTTGAGGGGACGTTTTATTTCCTTTACGACTTAGTCACTCCCTTTGAAGGGATGTTTTTATTTCCATCAGAAATAGAACCATAGAGGGGAAAAAAACCTAAATATATAAAGATGTTTTCCAGTCTTACTAGGTAGCCACCTGAAAACTTAAAAGGCGGGAAAGGGTTTAATGCATCACGGTACCCCCACACTAGGATTTTAAATGCAGGTATTTTTAAAAAATTTTAAGATTATAGAGACATCAAAAGCTCGCAGCAGTATTAACTGAAAAAAAGGTACGTCTACTACATCTGCAGTTCTAAAACAATGCACGGGTATGCGGAAGTGAATAGCCACGTACATGTCGGAGTGACAAGGGCACTCGGGGACGTTAGAGCCTTCTGCGTGCCGCACGCCACTCTCCATAAGGAAGTGCGCCGTGCAGAATGACGACCTCTTGCTCTGCTAGATCACAGGCTCCAGCTTGCAAAGTAAAAGCAGCAGTTGCTGATTCAAACGGTGCGTTTCCACGTGATTAAGAGAAAGTCCAAGTAAGAGTCTGGACTTTTGGTTCTTGGGCGAGGTCTCCAGGAATTGCCTACGACAAACTGGTGCTCCCTAGAGCACATAAACGAGGGCGTCCGATTTCAAAACGGCGCCCCTACGTGCCCTGTCCCTGGCAGAGGCTGCTGCTGACAAGCGGAGCTGTGTGTCTAATAATTGTTAGTGCCCCACAGTAACTGGAGGGGCCCTCCAGAGCCAAGGCTTTAAAAGAAATACGAGCTCTCACTTCTGGTCTCATTAGGACCACAAATCACACATCGGTCAGTAAGACTAAAGAAGCCTGACACACCAAACCTGCATCAAGGTCCAGGAAGAACAACTTTGAGACGTTCAACTGAAAAATGATAACACAGGCAGGTGGGGGATGCCTCTGAGTGTCCCCTCCAGCAGCAGCTCCCGGCCACTGAGCGAGCACCGGGTCATCTAACCCTCCCTCCACCTGCCAGCCAGTCTCCATCACTAAGTAACGTGCCCCAGGCCACACAGACGTGGGCAATGAAGGCCCTATCAGCCGGGCAGCAGAACTGCACCTCCGTGACCGTGACCGAGACAAAGCTTCCACCTCAGCGGAGCTTTAGTGCTGGTGACTCGGCAGCCACGCTGACCTCCGCCAGGCACATGCAGGACAGGCTAACGCAGGCGTGTCTGCGGAAACCCCTAAACTCTTGCTGCCCCGTCTCCACTCTGTCCTGAGGGTGCAGAGCGCTTACTTGTGATCAGAGAATTCATGATGACATGGGTGGCTTTAGCCTTCACCACGGGGGCTTTGTCCGTACTGTCAGTGGCTGATGACAGGGTCACAGCAGGGGAGGAGACACTGGCCTCTCCTTCCTCCACCTGTTTGAGAGGAGAGAGGCAAGGAGGCACTGAGCAGAGCTGGGGAATCACGCACCCAGCCTTTGGGGAAGAAGCTACTGAAATTCCTTGAATGGGATACTAAGGAACTACCTGAAGGGAGGAGTTTATACCATCCATAGTGACAAGGGATAAAGACGTTACATGAACAGCTCGAATTTATACAAGTGGGAAAGCCAGAATTTGAAGCTCGGAGGTCCCCGACCTTCCCAGCCCGTTTGTCCCAACGGACAACACTACAACCTACTGCTAAGCACCAACCTTGTCCAGGCCCAAGGCCGGCTTTTGCTTAACCCATCAGCGCGTTCACTAGGCAGTTCTCGTCTCTAGGCCATGAGAATCCCCCAGAGGGCCTGGTACACAGAATGCTGGGCCGGAGCTGATTCAGTAGGCTTGGGAGGGGCTCCCAAATTTACATCTCTAACAAAATCCCAGGTGGTGGTGATGCTGCTGGACCCCGGACCAAATTTTGACCATGGTTCTAAAGGTTCAAGGAATGGTCTTTAAAAATAATAATAATAAATCTAAGTGGCTCCTAATCCTCCACGTGAGCCGAGTTCGCCACCTTGTCATCCACACTCAGGACTGGCAGGGAGGAGAGAACGGGGTTTGTTCTTTGTCTCTGCATCTCCAAAGGGTCGGAGAAAGCGGGGAGCACAAGTACTAAAGGTTGTGTCCCCATCGCAAAACAGGACTCATGCTTTCAACGGCGACCCTGCTGGAGTAAAACTCGCATTTCCGCCCCCTTCCCCCGGGAGACGGCAGACGTCAGGGCTAACGCAAGAACGCGCATAACCGGGCAGGCTGGGCTGTCCTTTGAGCGCCCGGTCTGTCGCGAAGCGGGCAGCAGCCTGTCAGTGAAAGTGTGGCGCTGCCCTGAGAAGCACTGTCACACACGGTGCTTACTCATTCTCTGCTCCTGTCTCGGAGTCCACCGCCTGGGCGCTGTTCCCCCAGCTCAGCCAGTCCCCTTTACACAAAATGTTTTCTTCAACAGCTGACTGGGTCAGGTCTCATGAGACAGCGGACATCGGGAATTTCCCGCAGGGAAGGGTGTGGGGGGCCCATTAGAAAGGAAGAATGACACGGCTCAGCCTAGTGACAGTTACGCTGGGAGCCGGGAGTCCTGACATGTCAGGGACACACCTAGTACGTGTCACATCTTTTATTTAACCCCCACGACATCTCCACGACAAAAGTATTCTCATCTCTCAGATGGAGAACTGTGGCTCGGGGGTGAAGCTGTCTGCCCAAGGTCACTGCTAACACATAGACCATTAGGGGTTTCACACCCAGGTCTGCCCGCTGTGGACTTCCTGTCCGGCCCAGAGCTGTCCCTCAGCTCAGAGTTCAGTGAAACTGTGGCTGCAGGTTAAACAGCCTCATGTGAACTAGGCAGGCCTAGTTTACTCAGGCAACAGTAGCCCCTTTCCTGCATTTCTGGTGACTAGAGAGTCAGAAGTGACAGAGACACGGTCCCTGCAGGCAGGAAGCAGTGACGCCTGCAACGAGCATGTGCGAACCGGGAAGCTGGACTGCACGGAAGGGCTGCGTGAGCGGGTGGAGGTGTAACACGGCGTGTGGTGTCTGCGGGTGTGCGAGGGGCCGCAGGAGGGGGCGGGCCTCACAGAGAAGGCCCCTCGGAGGTGGCTGTGGCAAACGGGGGGCGTGAGACGTGTGCCGGAGAGAGCCGATTTCCCCCACTTGCGACAAATGTTTTTCTGGAACCTGCTTTATGCCAGGTCCTCTGCTCAATACTAAAGCTAGGGTTCAAAACTGACCATGACTCCTGCCCTCAAGATGCTAATGGAAGGTGACAAAGTAACAGGGGGCCTGTGACAGGCCCACGCTGCAGTGGAGAGCGCAGAGGGAGAGGTGACCGTCTCGTTGGGAGGACAGAGGAAAAATCCGTACAGGAGACGTGTTTATGCTACGGCCTAATGGACCATTTGTCAGGCAGTGGGGTGGGAGGAGGACGGGGGGACTGTAAACACTCCAGGCAATCAAGCCCTTGAAGCAAAGACCCGAGGCATCAAACTCCCTGTGAAGCGCACGAAGCCTGAGGCAACGTTCAGGGCTGGGCCAGGGCGGGGAGGGCACGCAGGCCCAGGATCCCGCGGAGCCAGACCAAGGAGCAGCCAGACCAAGGACCCTGTGTCTGACACTGGGAGGTGGGGTGAGGGAGGTGGAAGGAGGACGAAGGAGACTTGGGCAGAAGACGTGACCATTCTAGTTTGAATTGAAAAGAAAAAAAGGCCCACCGACTCCAGCTGAGGCACAGAAAACACATACAGGGACTGGTGGTGGCCTGAAGCCACTGAGGCTTCCGGGGCTGCGGAAGGAGAGCGAAGGGGCTGGGCTTGCCAGGGGCAGTCCGTGGGGTCAGGTACCTTGGCGAGATGCTGGTACTTGCGCTCTGGAATCACTGGCTTCCAGGGGATGCTGCCCATGTCCGCTGGAGGAGGAGTTATGGGCGCAGGGTCCTCCAGGGCATCATCATAGCTGAATGCCCGGCGGTACATCCCGATGGGCAGGGACATCTTGCCCAGAGGCCCACTGGGCTCAAGAGCTAAGAACAGAGACACCTGTCAGGATGGGTTCAGCGAGTGAACACACTAATAGCTTTAAACCGACCTGCAGGCAGGAAAGCTCTGAAACACTCTTATTCTAGGACCGAGCAATAGCCTGTTCTGGAATAGAGAACCCATTCAAGGAAAGGTAATCCATAGTACTAATTCCTTCCTTGGATTCTCCTCTTAACCCACTTAGTAACCCTAATCCACTTAAATGGATTAGGAAACCGAAGTTCAATATAAATTTACCTGAACAAGGTCACACAACTTCAAAGTGCAGTAAGGTCAAAACCCAATCCCGTCTGCTTTCAAAGCTTGTGTTCTTTATGTCATGGAATCTGCCCCTACTCAATGCCAGCTCTCAACTTATGCAAGACTGAAGCGAAGTTCTTGTTCCCGGTGTTTAGATGAGGAAAACAGTCCTACAGCTGAACTGATTTGCCTAAGTTCATATGGACAGCAGCCAGCCCTCTGCCTCCCTACCTCACTAAAGACAACAAGAGCACGATTAACAAGAAGTATTTAAAACACTATGCTGTCCAGGGTTATCACTTGTTTCATGTGTTCTGTATGATTTAAACAGCAGAGCCAATTACCAGCACAGAAACTGCTCTCATAAAGCACTGCCAGCTGATCCTGCCAGTCCCGTCCACTGGAAGTGACTGGAATGTCCCACAGTGAGGTGGGCACCCCACTTCAAGGGCACTCGGCTCTGCCAGACTAGGGAGCAGAGTTCATTCTGTTTACTAAGCCTTTCACAACAGAACTACTGTCCAGATCCTGCCTTCGGCGTGACATTTGCCTTTTGCTAAAATTATACAATCACTCTCCAAGACATCGACTTGAGGGGCAGGAAGTCCAAAACCAGCAAAGACACTTCGTTTAAACGGCAAAGGGACCAAGCAGGTACCGTGATTATTACTATTACTAGTAAGTACTAATAAATCCGTAAAAACAGAATGAGGATTAGTGGCTGCCAGGGCTGGGGGAGATGCTGGGGAGTGGGAAGTGACCACTCATGGGTATGAGGTTTTATTTTTAGGATGATGAAGATGTTCTGGAATGAGACAGTGGTCATGGCTGCACAACCTTGTGTAAACTAAAAGCCACTAAATTTTTCATTTTAAATAGATGAATTTCACAGTATGTGAATTATCTCAAAACAAACACACGAGCAAATAATAATTGCCAAGTACTCTTCCTTGCCAGGCATGTACATCCCTCATCTTACCTAATCCTCATAAAGCAGATTTTCTTCCCATTCTCCAGCTTAGGAACCTGAGGCACAGATCTTAAGTGACACCCAACCGGTACACGTGGTGGGGACTAGAACGCATCTCAGCCAGCGTCACCCGTGACGGGCACTGCTCCATGCTCCCCACATGACAAGCATTAACATGATGAGTGCCATGCTAAGGTCTGGGCCGGACACAGTTTATGGTAACCACACGACAACAAAAGACAAACTAAAACACCAGCTGATGAAGTCAGACACTGGAGAGGGACCGATACTGAGAGACATGGGGGAGACGCCTATTACTCCAGTTAATTTGGGAGCAATTTCAAAAACATCTTAAAGGCTCCCAAGCGCCATCCCGACAGCCTTCTTAAAATAAATAAAGTCAGCTAATATATTTACTAGGATGTACATTCCTACAAACAGAGACCCCGAAATTTTCTGGGCAGTAAGTGCTTATTCATCACTACCTTTTAACTCACATTTTCACATATTTAACGTTTAATCTTCGCATCAGCCCTGAGAAATAGGCACTATCATCTATATTTCACTGATTATCTAAAATTGGGTGATTCAGATTCGATTAAAATTCACTGCCCTTCTCACTTAAAAAGTCCAAGGCGGGATCAATGACTTCAGTAACCCAAAATTATTGCTCTATACAGATCCAGACTCATCAAATGCCACTGTGAGCATTTTCATGACCAAGTTCAATTTGCTGCCTTTAAATCAGGCTGGTGCCTTTTTGCCTAGACCTCCATTCCACCTGTCCCCTACGTCCCCTAAGAAACGAAGTGAGTTTAATCATTTTGGTACATACTACGAGAACTACCCAATTTCTTCTGAATTCTTATTTGATGCCCTAGAAAAGTGATAAATTTGTCACACCCTTGAGGGAAATGATTGCTCTCTTTTCAGTTAGATTTTGGGTTCATACCCTGGCTGGGTGGTTAATAAGGTAATATTAAAATGATGCCAATCCATTAAATCTAAATACTCTCCTGGTAGCAGAGAGTAACCATCAATATCAGAAAAAGTAGTTTCTGTCTAGCTTAAAATAAGGGCAAAACATGACTTGACCAAAAAGAATTAAGTTTACCAGGCACTTCTGTTTGTCTCGAAGCCATTGAAAGACTGGGATCCAGGTGCTTTTTCTATATAGATTTCAGAGCTGAGTCCCTGCCACCTAATAAAAATAACAAAAAGCATTTTCTTACAGTGAACACCAAAGAATAGCTCCAATGCTGTTCTTTTGACAGGCACACAGAGTTTTATGGCTTGTTTACAAGGTTGAAACACACATAAAAGAGCCAACGGGTAAGAAACATGACAGAGGAGGGAAAAAAAAAAAAAGGCTAAAGTCAAAGGTCTCACCACACCTGTGGCTGATGTCAACACCTATGATATGACAAAGACGATATACCTGGCGAAAAGGTCACCTTACCGGAGTGAAATGAGGTGACGATTATGCTGACAGGCAGATATTAACGAGGAGCATGGTCCAGCTGCAGCACATTAGCAAAGGTGCTCAGGAAGAGTCCGTCCATTCCAGAGGTTCTAAGAACAACAAATGACCCGCATTGGTACAGCCCTTCACAGTCTGCCAAACATCTTCCTGTGCAGTCATGTATTCCCCATGACACAGTCTTACAAGAGGGATTACCAGTTTGTGTGTTTTCATGTTAAAGCTAGGGCTCAGGGTCCAAACAACTTGACCCACAGCGAGGGTCTAGGGACCACAGCAGGTAAATTCATTCTTTGCTGCTAACACTGACTAATATTTATAAGGATTTTATACAACACTTATCTTGTGTTTTAACCCTTGCAGCAACCCTGCAGAGCAGAAATTATTTATCCCCGATTTAATAATGATAAGGAAACTAAAAGTTAGGAGATAAATGATTTTGTCCAGGATCACAGATAAGTGGCCCATATGCAAGACAGGTAGCTCCACCCCCGTTTTACAGGGGCGTCCAAACGAAGCCCTGAGAAAGCCATATTATTTGCATTCCAGCTTGCTCCACTGTCCTCCTACCCTGACGGAGCTCAGAAGGCACACTAGTTAGTTCTTCTTAAAGAGCATCTCAGAATCCAAAGTTCAGCCATCTTCCGGGTCCGGGAGCATTCCGAACCAGACCATCCCCTTCCACTCCCACTTCCCCGTCCCCTCCCCGGCAGAGCTTAAGTATCTCCTACACGGGATAAAAGACAAGGCCTCCAGGATTTGAAAGGCCAGGTCTGACCCAACCTCCTGTCTCACCCTACAAGGCAGGGAAAGAATGAGATTAGGGCCGGGGCCCCGCACGAGTCCAAGGTTCCCCGAGGGCAGGGCAAGTAGGAGGCTTAAGAGGTGACGGGGAGGGCGAGGTAGGGGGTCCCGGGCTAGGCCGGTTTGATCAAGTGTAGACGAGGCCCCGTGCCTGGCTGGGCTGCAGGGGCATCATCAGAGAGAAGGCCCACTGGGGACCCCAGAATGTGAAGCGAGAGACGCAAAGGCAGACCGGCCAACGTAAGAGCATGGAAAAGGGGGACGGGAGAGGCCCGGAGCCAGGGCCGTGGTGGGCGACTAGGAGCGAGCCCCTCAAGATGAGCGGAGGACGCAGCCCCGGGGACCGCCAGGCCCGGCCCATCCGGTTACCTGTTTGTTTCGCCGTCGCGCAGCTGCCTGCAGCCCGAGCTCCCGCACTAATGGGGCTCCGAGCACCCACGTCTCCCGAGAACCTGTGGCGCGGTCTGGACACAAACCATGGTGTAAGCGGTGCTGTTCCCGTGGTGACACCGAAGGCCTCGGGTACGGACTAGAAAACGACAGCAGCCAGCGGGCCGGCGGCCTCCGTGATAAAGCCTCCCAAGATCGCGTCACGTCGCGCGAGACTTGGTCCGGAAAGCTCTCAGAGCATGTTGGGATTTGTAGTCCATGATCGGAAAGGCCCCAGGACCTTAGGGGCCCTTGAAAAGAGCGGGGACCCTCTTCCAGGAATAGCTGGGTTAGGCATAGCTCATACAGAACTAAAAAAGGATGCAAACCCCATCTGCCTCCCCTAGGCGAGGCGGGCCTAATGTCATTTTCCTTTTACACTAAGGAAAGTGATGCTTGAAGAGATGCCAACTCAAATGTTGCATACTGAAGGCAGACTCATTTTTTTCCTATAGAGTTTACAAATATGATAAAGCGTTAAAGCTGAGGAAGTAAAAGAAGATTTTAACAAATCTACCCACATTCCTTTCGACCCCACAGCCCAAGCTTGCCATCACAGCTCATCTCCAGAGGGCGATGGGGCCTGAGGGGTGGGTGTCACACTGAAGTTTCAGCATTTGACACTTGTCAGGCCTACTGGCAGGACTGAGAGACTTGCCTCAGGCAATTTTAAACCTGAGTGCCATTAACAGGCCACCACTCATGAGTGTGCTGTGAATTAAAGTCTTCCTCAAATTCTATAATTAGCTTATGAATATCACAATTACACTGCAGTGCGATTTTTTTTGTTGTTGTTGTTAAGTGTTACTTTGTTAATTTGGAAATTTTAAAATGCCGTATGCCATAATTTGTTATCCTCTGTGGAAGCAAAACTGACACCTTGCCCTCCCCTCTTCCATCAGAAGGGTTACACATCACCCTTCAGTCAGCAGGGGAGAAAACAGCACTTTGCACCCTTATGTAAACCAGAAGACGGGATCACCTTATCCCCAAATAATGGAAAACTCAAGACTTTCCTGGAAGTTATTGACTTTCTGACAAACAATTTTACCCCTGACTTTTGTGGCACTGATGTCCGAAGCGAAGTCGTGATCGAGACAGACAGTAGCCATGTGAGAAAAGTGCTGTTTTGCACGAAGGACAGACTAACTGTAAACTTTTTACTTTCACCATTTTATGGGGTTTTCCTCTTTATATGGATATCGTATTTTTTTTTATTGGGGAGCTTATTTGTTTGAAGCCTAGACTCTCTTAGAAGCCTTCTTTGCAAGTAAACTCATTTTCTAAATGATTTGGTTGCATAACTAAGGAGGATTCAGTCAGTCACAATGGAATCCAATCCACGAGGCCGCAGCTTCTCAGCTGTTTGAGCTCAGGCCGTCTTTCTCAGCTCCTCGGGCAGATCTCTTGTGGCAACAGAGGTTCTGGTCTACCTCTTTTCTGTGATTTTCTTTCTGATTCTGGTTTTGGTTCTTAGCCAAACCTGCTTCCAATTCTGTGCAGTCACTTTATTTCCCCAAGAGCAGCGGCACCATTGGGAAGTTCTTCCTTGAAGTCTGTGTGGTTCTTGTCTGGGGGCAGACAACAGTCAAGGGACCCTGTGTGTGGCCGACCAGGGGATCTGGCTGCCTTGGTATGTATTGTTGTTTATAACATACACTTACCAGGAAACTAATTTTCTAAACGTTTTTGACTCTGAATTGTGCTTTTGGACTTCCTTGAGCATTTCATACTTTAATAAACTTGGAGCCTCAAAAATTGGAATTGACCAGAGTCTCTTGTGCATCCACTCTGAATGCCCATATCATCCTAGATTCCTATTTCATGGGGGAGGAGGCGCCTCCCTTCCTGCAGACATCTGCCATCTCTGGTCAGCCCAAGCCCCCAGAAAGACTCACTCCCTAGCTGACTTGCCAGTGTTCTCACCGCCCATCAGCAGACAGGAACTTGGTCACTGGGAAGCGGGGTGGGGGGGAGGAGAAGCTGGGGGGGCAGATTTGCATTTCTGGGGTCTCTAAACTGGGGAGCTCTTCCTGGAAGCCTACCCTTATGTCATCATAGATGAGGCTTTCTACCCAGTATTGCTCAGGAATTGTCCATTTCCAATGCACATTTGGACCTTGGCAAAGGTACCTCGGTTAGAGAGCGGGAGAGTTAAAATTCAAGCCCCAAACAGAGTGTCTGGCTGATAGTTTGGCTGTTGGCTGTCTTTGGCCTCACCTCCTCCACTTTTAATATTCCTGGGGCAGGAAGGTTGAAGGCACAATCCAAAGAAACACCTGGAAGCAACAGCTCCCTCTAGTGGTGAGGAGGAAGACTTCATTGAAGAAATAAAGGATGAGGCTCAATAGTCAAACTGTCCTTAGAAACCCACTCACTTATCCAATCAGATATTACAGATGGTGTAACTAAGATGCAAAGGACAGAAGGAACCAGGCCAACGTCACACAGCTGATCTGGGGCAGTCGGTTAGATAGAAAACGTGTTCTTGTGTCTTACTTTTTATCAAGCGCTATGCTGGGTGTTTGGGATACATGGGAGGTAGGGACAGTCCCTGACTGAATTCTGTCCTACCAAAATTCACATGCTGACGTCCCAGCACCCCCGTACCTCAAAATGTAATAGTCCACGGTCTTTCAGGACCCCCCCCCGAAAAAAAACTGAGTCCTAAAAAAACTGGCTCCAAAATTAAAAAAAAAAACAAAAACAAAAAACACTGTAGAATCAATATTAGTATGTTCAAATGTCTGCACCACAGATTATTGTCAACTTCTTTTATGGCAACATACGATTTTCATAAAGATGGCATCTGAAAACAATTTTGGAGTTATATTTCTCACCTTGAAATAAATCTCCAATGAGCACCTTAGTGCTCAAAAAAAAAAAAAGAAAGAAAAGAAAAGAAAAAAGCCCCACAATCACAAATTAGGTAAGTTACTGCAGCCATATCCTCTCCGAGCTCGTGAGAGATGCTCAGGAAACAGGTCGCTTGGGTTTGAATGCAGCCTGCACCGATGCACGATAGTGCGACCTGGACCTGTTTTCCCTCCTACGACGCAGTGTTTTACGGGATAACCGAGAACAGCCGTGAGCCAGCCCCTCAACACACAGCAAGTGCTCGGTGGATGCCTATATCCCCGTCTCCAGTCCTGCGCCCATCGCTCCCTTCCGCATCTTGCAGAGCCGGCGGGAGATCCCCGCACTCGGGGCCGGCGCCGGTGCATTGTGGGGCTTGTAGTGCGGGGCTGGGCTGGGCTGGGCTGGGCTGGGCTGGGTGGCTGGGTGGGCGGGGCCGCGG